GAGGGCCATGACACACTCACTCACACCCACACACTGTCTATCTCTCCCATGGTCCACACACCTCAACACACGCTCAGATCTTGCTTACATCATCCATGCAGTAGAAACAGATCAGACACCCATGCATGCACGCTGAAGTGTGCTCCTTTACCTTTCACATACAGTGTGTGTGCTGCATGACACACACACATGCAACCGAGTCTGCCTGCTCCCGAACAGGCGCACACTTTGACACACACTGAAGACACATGACTGAATTTATGGAAAAGTGGGGAATCTGCAGAAAGGTTGTTGCGAGGAGAGGAAAACACAAGTGAAAGGAAGATGTTTATGTTGTGACCAAGAGGAAAGGTGCTGATTCCTTCCACATTCAGGTGTGTCTTCTTTTATCTAGCATTATTCAGCGGACATCAGGACCAAGTTTGTGTGAGTACACAAACAGGCAAAATCCTCCTCAGGTTGTGCTGGTGTGTCTATATGTCAAACTGAGTGTGCACTGGGGCACACGGACTGTTCTGTATGCTGCAGATGGTTCGGACTCTAGCCTAGTTCAGCATTGCTCTGGAGGAAATGAATGAGATTGGGGAGAATACAAGAGATGAAGGAGGAGGTGGTGGAGGAGAGAGAGATGGTGGAGAAGCGGTGGGCAGAGATGCCGTGGATCAGTTCAGAAACAACAACAGCAATAGGAACGCCGGCAGGAATTTGAATGGGAATGGACTTTGCGCTGGGAGCCCCAGTGGAGAGGTAGACTAGTGTTTGGCTTCTTTTGTTCAGTTAGGATGTATGTGCGTGTTGTGTGTGTGTGTGTGTGTGTGTGTTGTTACTGTCGTGCACCTTTGACATGTATTATGGGTGTTATCGTCTCCTGTCCAAGTCACTTTAGATTTCACTCCTTTCCAGTTTCCTTTTCTCATTAGATATTCTTTCTCTCGTTCTTTCCTTCATCTCACTTTAACTGCTGTAGTTTCTTCCCTTTTGACCTTTATCAATTCTACCAGCTCCATATTCCATATTTTATAACATCTATCTCCTTAGGATAGTTTCTATTTCTTCAGATCCTCCTCTCTCTTGCTCACTTATGCCTGTCTATAATAGAATTATAGCTGAATGAATCACACGATTACCTCCCGTACCTGCTGCCGCAAATCCCACTCTGGTCTGACTGTGTGTCCTTCTACACTTTGTCCATAAAGCTGCTGCACATTCACTGTTCAGTGTTTTAAGTGTTTTCTTTTATTTTAGGATGCACAGTAATGGTATCTCAAGCAGAGTTTCCTGTTTGCGTGAATCGTGTGCCTCATGTTTAAGTTGCATACGCTCGAGTGGGAAAAGAATCAACAGACCCACTTTGGATTACATCCACACATGTATACACTCTCATGGGAATATGTCTCATATTCTGTGGACATATTGTAACACAGCTGCTGTAGCTCCGTTAATCCACACCAAGGATGAAGTGCATTTGTATATGGGAGGGTCAAGTAAATCTATGTATGGCCAGATTATCTTTTTCTCAGAAATACCTGCTTACTGGAAATATCTGCTTATCTGCTTATTTGTTGGTGACACGTTACTTAAACGTCGATTATCATTTGTAAGCCATATATAAATTAAAATAAAAAGTCTATAATGCATGGAGCCATAGTTATAAACTGAGAAGTGTTTTAATAGATGCTTCACAGGAAAAGGTAGATGTTCACAAGTGTGTTTATATATTACACTCTAGATTGTAATTTGTTATAAACCTTGAATAAAGTTTTTATTACATTTTTATTTACATTTAGAGAGAAATTCCCTCCTAAAACTAACGGCTCATAAAAAAATTTAATAAAATAAACGCCATCTTTTTAAACCATAGTAAGAACACAAGCTTTTCTCATGTCTTACATGAGGTGTTTTAAAATTAGTTTTCTAAATATCATAAAAAATAATAGTGTGTGGGACAGTGGGTAATTACAGTTTTTATATCATTTCATATGTTGAATACATTTTTGATTAATGAACGTTTGGTTCGTAAAATAT